ACCTTATGATTCAGTTGATGATGTACCTGGTCATTGATATAAAAGAATTACCTTGTCGGGTTATCCACATGTTTGACCAACATGGAGATATTGTATTACCCTTGTCTGAGGGACTTTGATGTAATATTATTTTTTCGAAAGGGTTATCCCCCTTTCAGGAATTGAAAAAGGGTTGAATTACTTCCCTTTGATTTCCAGGGATGTTATCACCTGGTATTGAAATTTTGTTCGCTTCATTTGTTGAATTTATTTTTACGTCAGATTTGTTCCTTATGTATGTTTTGTGTGGACAAATCTGCCTTTTCAAAAGGGAGGGGATGTGACCTACTTAGGTCGTGTATTTTTCCTGTTTGACTTTTATTGCTCAACCATGAGTGACCTGTGGTGTAACCACCAGTACTTTTCCATAGTTCTAAGAAAGACATATCCCCTGTAGTTTTCCGTCACGAGTGGTGGTGCAATACTTTGATACTTTCGATTGTTAATTCGGACATCAGAGTTGTCCCAACCAATAGTCTCATGATTTGAAGGTGACCTCCCAGGTTGCCTCAGGTGTCAAATAAGCTGCGCACACGTTTCTGCAGCCAGAGTCCATCGCAGCAGTCCATAGGAGCAATTAGACCAGACATCTTTTGAGAGAAAAAGCCTTGAGTGTCGCTATTTTGTAGCCTATAGTTTTAAGCAGCATTTTTCCTTTTATTACTTGTGGTTTTAAGTAATATTTTGTGCTTTAAGTAGTGTCGCATAAGCTGTGCTGATTTTCTTAAGTGCCATATCCTGTGATAGTGTAAACAGTGTTTTTTTTCCTCAAATATTAAGTTGGGTTTTGTTATTTTACTCATTTATTTTATTCTGTATAAAGCTAGAGTCTTACCTTGAATTTGTACACATATTAAAAGTTATATATGGAATAAATGTGTTGTTGGTATCAGGAGTTCATCGAGTGTATCCCCTAGACGTTAAGTACGTGTCCTCGTTAACTGTTGTGCTAGCTACCATTTATAGGGCTTTATGCCATCTGTGTATAACCATTGAAAAGAACCCGGGTACGTTCGCCAGCTATCTGGCTGATAGAGTAGTGTTTCGTAATAAGGGCCTATTTGCGTAACTTAAGATTCAAACGCGGCTTCTATACCGCTAATTTTGCAGAATTATAGACTTAACGTATATTCTAGATTTAGCTCTATCTAGATATACTAAACTATTTCAGGCCTTAATATTTTACTTTATGTAAATATTTATTTGTTTAGCTATGGAAGAGGCTAATTTGTGATAATATTAAATTTGACATGCTCGATCTAGGTGAGTTGACAGTGTAAACGCTAACCGTGTGGGTCGTACGGGTTCGAAAAACATTAATTATTTTTTTTTGTATTTTTTTTATAGATGTGACTGATAAAGTTGTCTATCGGGACTTGGCAGGACACTGGGCAGGTGAAGTAAAGTTCACCTGTTTCTGTGATCTTGGCATTTGAAGGGATAGTGTGGTCAGAGCCATGCTCGACCGGAATCCTTTTGTAAACGACAAAAATATGTTGTCTGAGACTTGGCGGGACACCGGGCAGGCGAAGAAGAGATGGGTAGGTGTAGAGTTCACCTGTGCCGTCAGCATATGAAGGGGTAATGTGGTCAGACCTATGCTCAGCCTATGTTGGTGTCAGTGTTCCTTCCAGATATTTTTCTCGGTAGAATTTCTTCTAGATGTCTGGAAGAAACTCTGATCGGTGTTTTAAAAGACAAAAACATGTCTAAGTTGGGGAACTGGGCAGGCGAAATAGAGTTGATCTGTTTTTGTGATCTCAGCCTATGAACTGATAGTGTTGTCAGGCCCATGCTCAGCCGAAATAAGTGTTTTTAAAAGACAAAAACGTCTGAGGTGTGACGTCTATTTGAATGTGGGATCTGTTTTTTTACGATAAGTGACAGACGTGATGTTTTTTATGGATGATACAGAAACCCACAGTTATCCAAGGGATGACGGGTAGTCTAGTAATTCAATAAAGTCCTCCTATCTAGAATGATAATAACAAATACTTTATGTTTATTGCAAAATAAAAACGGTTATAAAATTGCATTTTAAGACGCGATTCCGGCTACATTCGGACATAGCCTTCATCCTACCACTAGCATTAGCCCTAACCTTAATAATACCATTTAAAATTTAGGATTATGTTTAATATTTGTATGCTATTAGGTTCGGCGTCAATTTGTAATCGATATGAGGAAATGTCTAACTCAAATTTTGGAACAGTGAGTATGTGACAAGAGAGTAATTGCCTGGTTATGTAATGTCGGGGAAAATATCGGAGGGTAATTGTCTGGGGGGGGGGGGGGGGGGTAGGGACTCATGACCTGCTTTACAGCTTTACAGGTCTCTACAGAATATAATTTATTGAACTTTCCTGTAGCCAATCCTTTTCATATTGTTACTTGAGCTACCCGAAAAAAAAAAGCGTGGGTCTATTTCTAAATATTATTAAAGGTACCCAATAGACAGTAAATTGACCCACGCTTTTCCTTATAGTTATTATATATTTAAAGAAACTCATTTATTTTTTTTACTTTTAGTGTATTATTATTACATAGAAGCTTGTTATTAAACATTTTTAATGAATTTTTTACAAGCTTTCTCTGCCAGTTTGTCGTCAGTCTGTCGACAGTCTTTCTGTCGACATAGATCGAAACTGGCGAGCAAAATTCTGGGCACTTTTAACTGTCAGATTCGTTTCAAGTCTTAAGGCATCTGACTTACGATTAGGAAAGTACTTGAATCCGTCAATATTAGCGACCAGACTAAAATGTCTGATATAGGGCGGGCTCAAAGGTTTGCTACAAACACGGAGTTAGAATTAGTACACACTAGACTACCCGTTATCTAGTTAGATAACTGTGGGGTTCTGGTGTCATCCATAAATGACATCACGTCTGTTACTTATCATCACAAAATAACCAGACCCCAGATTTAAAAAACGTTTTTTTTTGGTATTTTAAAAACACCGATTTCAGCTGAGCATGGGTCTGACCACACTATCCCTTTATATACTAACGTCGCAGGTGACCTACCTAACTCTAGTTCACCTGCCCATTGTCTCGCAAATTCTCAGACATGTTTTTATTGCTTTAAAAGAAACGATTCCTCCGAGCATGGCTCTGACCATACTACCATTTATAGGCTGAGTACACAGAAACAGGTGAACTCTACTTCACCTGCCCTGTATTCCACCAAGTTCCAATAGGCAATTTTATCAATCAATGTAAAAGATAAAAAATTGACATGTGTCTCGCACCCGTACCTACCGCATGGTATAACCTAATACACTTATGTCTTATCTATCTAGGCTCGTAGTATTAGGGACGTAAATACTGATATATTTTACTTTTATTCTCGATCTATAACTTTTCCCCTTCGACAGCTGATCTTTAGATCTATAGAAATTTAACGTATACTTTAATGAAAAGGACTGTTGAAAATTGATATAAGTGCCGGAACGTAATAAAATAGCAAACGGACGTATCGTTAAAGCTATAGCCGACTGAAAATTAGCTTTAGAACGCTCTAAACGTTTGAATTGGCACTAAAATATTCAATGGAAGCCGCCATTTTTGTGGTAAAAAATAAATAAATCATGTTACGTCACTATTCGCTATAAGTAAAGTCATTGTTCTGAGATTTTATAATTAATGTGGATAATCTTACAATGAATAAATCAATAAATTAATGAAGGTCTTTAAATAAATTAGTGATTAACAGTGTCTAAAAAAATTTGTTCTCTACCTAATTGCTATTTTACAGCTCTACACTTAGTTCAGATTGTCTCCTGTAACCAAACGGACAAAGAAATTAATATTCAAACATGTAAACAAACTTGAGTTTTAGTAGTATACTAGACTACCCGTTATCTATTTAGATAACTGTGGGTTTCGGGGGTCATCCATAAATGACATCACGTTTGTAACTTATCATCACAAAATAACCAGACCTCACATTAAAAAGATGTAAATTGAAAAAAAAAATTACATTGCCTTGATTTGTGCCACCCACATGGAAACCAAATACACTATTACCTTAGCTATCTAGGCTAAGCACTTTTCGTGCTACATATAAAAACTTTTACTCTGTTTACGAAACCTGATTTACGTGAATAGGTCCTAGATGTAGTATTTTCAAATTAAATTTTATCTTAAATTAGCCAATTCCATAGCTAAACAAACAAAGATTTATATAAATAAACACGGCCTCAAATAGTTCAGTATAGAAACTCATTATTATCTAGATAGCGTTATCTCGATTCTAGATTCTACGACTGGTTTGGTTAAGTCGAGATTTGGATAAATCACTTGTATTAATGAATTAGATGATCGGTGAAGCTAAAAAAGCAAAGGTTTATATCAAATATTTAAGGACTAAAGAAGTTTATAAAAGAAACTCAATAATGTATTCTGATTTTAAAAAACGTTTTAATTTTAAATAATTAATTTTGGTTTGACCTATATTCTAGATCTATAAATAACTTCGTTCAAGATCTAGATGTCTAGAGAAATTTATTGTATACTAAAATAAAAAGAACTGTTAAAAATTGATATTATTTTCGGAACGTAATAAAATGGCAAACGGACATATCGCTAAAGCTATAGCCGACAGAAAATCAGCTTTATAGTGCGTTACAATTTCGAATGGGCAGTAAAATATTCAATGGAAGCTGTAATTGTGGTTGAAAAAAGTAAATAAATAATTAGTGTGTTGGTTAATCTACCAATGAATTAATCAATACCTTAATTAACGTCTTTAAATAAATTTGTGATTAATAAAAATTGTTCTCTGCCTAATTGCTATTTATAGCTCTACAAATAGTGCTGATTCTCTCCTGTAACCAAACGCGCTAACAAAAATAAATAAAAAATAAATAAATACTCAAACATGTAAGCCAACTTGAGTTTTAGTAGTATATAGATATATGGATAGATATGCCTTTACATTAAAAAATTACATGAGCACTTACTACAGTTCCTTTCATCCTCGTAGTGAGAACAATGTTTTTTGCCGTCACATACAAGCTCGTTTGAAACACATTGAGTACCCGTGATACGACAATGGAATGCGTCACTGACACAGGTTGCTGATCATAGATAGACATTAAAGAAACAACTAATGTCGGTATTTTGATTTCCTATAATAAAAAAAAGTATATTGTTGCGGAGAGTGGTAAGAGATAGGACTAGGGAGAGGTAGGACAAGGGAGAGGTAGGGCAAGGGAGGGGTAGGTCAAGGGAGAGGGAGGACAAGGGAGAGGTAGGACAAGTGAGAGGTAAGACAATGGAGAGGGAGGACAAGGGAGAGGGAGGATAAGGGAGAGGTAGGACAAGGGAGAGGTAGGACAAGGGAGATGGAGGACAAGGGAGAGGGAGGACAAGGGAGAGGTAGGACAAGGGAGAGGTAGGACAAGGGAGAAGTAGATCAAGGGAGAGAGAGGACAAGGGAGATGTAGGACAAGGGAGAGGTAGGACAAGGGAGAGGTAGGACAAGGGAGAGGTAGGACAAGGGAGAGCTAGGACAAGGGAGAGGGAGGACAAGGGAGAGGTAGGACATGGGAGAGGTAGGGCAAGGGAGAGGTAGGACAAGGGAGAGGTAGGTCAAGGTAGAAAGAGGACAAGGGAGAGGTAGGACAAGGGAGAGGTAGGACAAGGGAGAGGTAGGACGGGGGAGAGCTGAGACAAGGGAGAGGTGTGACAAGGGATAGGATGGTCAGCACACTATTAAACTATGATCCATAAAATACAACGTAGGCATTGTTTACATTTAAATATCTTAATATTATAAAATATTGGAATCGTAACGCAATGATGAAACCTCTTAAAATATTACGTCAGACTTTCTTAAAAGACCCCGACAACACGCGGGAAAGGGCACGCTAGTTATATTATAATTAGTTTTAATTTTTTAAACGTTGTTTGATAGTCTATTATAAGAAATACACATACGCAGTTAACTAGGTGTATTTGATATATTTACAATCAAATATACTATAGTAAACAGTATTAACTGCTTTCATTTCTTTCATTTTAATTTTTTGTGGCTTCAAAAGACAGACACAATTTAATATGCATAACATTTTATACCATTTTTTTATATTGACTATTTGCATTTTGCAAAAACAGCTGGGCTCTCATGGGCACAGATTAGAGGAGCAGCCCAAAATCAAGTCCGCTGGAGATGTGTGGTTGCAGCCCTTTGCTCCCCAGGGGCCATAAAGGAATGATGATGATTTGCATTTTAATTAATTCAAAATTGAAATTTCACTACAGCGCAAACTAAGCTTTAAAATATTATAAATTGCAATCGCAGATTGACTTTTGTGTTTTTCTAGATCATTTATTGCATTTTGTGTAAATCACAATGATTAATATCAAGAGGAACTTACAGCAGTTGGATTCATCCAGTAGATCTAAACACTCAACATTTCCATTACACCTTATGGGAGGTGCTTTGCAAAACTTAAAGGGGCACTTGTATTCATTATCATTACAACCTTCTAGTGAAGAAAGGAAATACATTCAGTTATTAGCGTTTTAAAACTCAGCCATAACATAAAATAAAATTGAATTAAACAGACTGTCAATGTTGCTTTTTTTTTGCATAGAATATAAATTAATATTTGAATCGCGAATAACACATGCTACGACGTTTTTAAAACAATGAAACATAAAAAATATATTATTTGCAAAACATATAACTGTTTTGTTTTGTATAAGTTTATTACGTTTTTATTTGCTCTATAAAATGACTACAGCACATTTTAATGCAAGAATTAGAATTAAACGGGTTTGCCGATTAAATAATCCAAGTTGAAAATGATTATGAAAATGCATTATGATTTAGAAACAAAACACGTTACTTACTACAAGGGTATTCGTCCTCGCCTTCGGCGCAGTCTCTTTTGCCATTACAAGCCAAATCAAATGAGATATTAGTGCCATTGTTACACGTGTAACTTTCTTTAGAACTTATAGCTTGGTAAAAGAAACGGAAAATTTAGTTATTTTATTATCACAATAATTCCGCATTTACAGAATTAATATAATGCTCTCTCTGCCCCCCCCCCCCCCCCCCCACCTCTCTCTCTCTATCTCTTCCATGAGATTTTACTAACTCAATGTTATGCTCATTAGCCAGACAGACTGCGATAGCATTAAGTATCACTGGTGTTAACAGGTATTAGAAACTAATTTCCGCAAGGTTTTTACTTTCTGCCCTTCTTTAAGAGCTGTTCGCACAGTTCATCTCACAACAGTTCCGTACGCGGTAGACTACCGTTCATCTTACAACAAATCCGTACGCGGTAGACTACAGTCCATCTCACAACAATTCCGAACGCGGTAGACTACAATTCATCTCAAAACAATTCCGTACGCGGTAGACTACAGTAAATCTCACTTACAACAATTCAGTACGCGAAGACTACAGTTTTTCTCACAACAATTCCGTACGCGAGAGATTACAGTTCATCTCACTACAATTCCGTACACGGTAGACTACAGTTTATCTCACAATAATTCATTACGCGGCAGATTACAGTTCATCTGACAACAATTCCGTACACGGAAGACTACAGTTCGTATCAAAACAATTCGTACGCGGTAGACTACAGTAAATCTCATTTACAACAATTCAGTACGCGGTAGACTAAAATAAAACTCACTTACAACAATTCCGTATGCGTTAGAGTACAGTTAATCTCACACCTATTTCGTACGCTGTAGACTACAGTTCATCTTATAACAATTTCGTACGCGGTAGACTACAGTCCATCTCACAAAAATTCCGTACGCGGTAGACTACAGTTCTACTCCCAACAATTCCGTATGCTGTAGACTACAGTTCATTTCACAACAATTCGTATGCGGTAGACTATAGTAAATATCACATACATCAATTTTGTACGCGCTTGACTACAGTTATCTCACTTACACTAGTTCCTTACGCGGTAGACTACAGTTCATCTCACAACAATTCCGTATGCGGTAGACTACAGTTCATCTCACAACTCCGTACGCGGTAAACTACAGTTCATCTCACTTACAACAATTCCGTACACGGTAGACTACAGTTCATCTTAAGACAATTCCGTACGCGGTAGACTACGGTCCATCTCACTTACAACAATTCCGTACGAGGTAGTGTACAGGTCATCTCACTTACAACAATTCCGTTCGTCGGATCCATCCTTACAGTTCCGAATGCCGTCACATTTCTTATATAGCCCAATACATGTTCTTTCTTGGCGGCAATTAAAAGCGTAAGGCTGACACCATGCTGTCAAACAAATATCATTATCATTAATATGTTTTGTTTTACTTAAAATATTTGCTTATTTTATTTGAAAGCCAATTTTAAAAAAAATCTTTTTTTAAAAATTAGTTTTAGGCATGCATTTGTATTTAATGATATTCCAACAAATGCCTATTCAGATGAGAAAGGAACTTTAAAGGGACAAGAAAGCACCGATGTGCTTCTGTCAATCAGTACTGAAGTTGGGATGGTCTCGACTACCTTTCCTAAAGCCTATTATGAAAAAATCAAGGGAGAGAATTCAAATTATACACGCTTTCTATTGTATTTTTTTGTAAAATAAAAAGAAGTAAACGTACATAAAACCGAAATTATTGTAATTATATTCTTTTTACTTATTTGTAGAATACAGGATAATACAGAATAGTAATTAAACCAATACAAAAAAACGAAAATTTTACACTATAAAATCATAATGGATTGTGGGCCCCAAATAAATAATATAAAGAAGCAAAAGTCGTCTTAATATCTAGCCACCTCTCGCGCTATGGACTTTTTTATTTCCAAAAGAATTTTGCCGACTACAGCGTGTGTTTGAATATAGTAGAAAGAGGACTCGGAATGGTGTCTAAAGAATAAAGATAATCCAGTATTCTTTTTATAAAACAATCATGAAGTCAAACATGCAAGAAAATGTTTTTGTTTTTTACTGTTAAAAAATTGATTATGGTCGGCTGTGGGCCCCTAAACGGCTTCCTCCTCCCCCCTTCCCCCGCATTGAGCGGTCTGGCGGCACTGTAGTTCCGCCCCTGTGTTTGGTGTGATTTTTCTGAGGCGCGCGTGTATTTACATTTAATTGGTGTGTTGAAAGTTATTTTTAAAACTACTATTGAATTGTTTAATCGTGTATTTAGTACAAAACGTTTATAAGAAAACTCAGAAAAAGAGAATGCAAACTTTTACAGTTAGATAGATTGGAATAATTAAACTTCGTAAACTTATAAGAAGTTGCTTAATGAAATTTTTAAAAATAGTAATGTGAATTGTGTAGAATGGTTGCGTGCGAAGGATTCATTTATTGTTTATCTCCATACTACTAAAACTTAAGTTTGTATACATGTTTGAATATTTATTTGTTTGTTTTTTGTTTGTCTGATTGACTACTCGAGAGAATGTGCTATGTGGAGAGCTGTAAAATAGTACGTAGGTAGAGAACAATTTCTGGTTTCAGATAGACTGTTCATCACAAATTTATTTAAAGACGTTAATTAATTTATTGATTTATTCATTGGTAGATTAACCACATTAATTTTAAAAGTTTAGAGAAACGACTTACTTTGAGTGAATAGTGACGTCACATTATTGGTTTATATTTTAGTACAATAATTGGCGGCTCCAATACAAGATTTCGTGTCTTATTGAGATCTTTAACGCGCTGTAAAACTAATTTTCTGTCGGCTATAACTTTAACAACAAGCCCGTTTGCTGTTTTTATTACGTTCCAACACTTATATCAATTTTTAACTGTCTTTTTGATTTGGTTTAACAATAAATTTCTCTAGCTCTACAATCTGTCCAAGAAAGTTATTTATAGATCTAGATCTAGAATCTAGGTCAAACCAAAGATTTATTAGTTAATAATACAATAAAAAAAAACTAGACTTAAGAAACCCAGTCGTAGATCTGGAGTATAGATAACTAGCTGCATCTCGTGCTCCGCCACGTTAAATCTTTTTTAAATGTACCAACTTGGGAACAGAACAAACCTAAACACAACTTTTATGGTTCCAAAATCTATAGCGATGACAGAAGGAAGGACTGACACACTACTTGGCCGCTTATATTATCGATTATATCTAGATTTAGAAAATAATGAGTTTCTATATACTAAACTATTTTAGACCTTTATTATTTTATATAAATCTTTGTTTAGCTATGGAATATGCTAATTTGGAAATGCTCGATCTAGGGCCTATTTGCGTAACTTAAGATTCATACGCGGCTTCTATATCGCTAATTTTGCAAAATTATAGACTTAACCTATATTCTAGATCTAGCTCTATCTAGATATACTAAACTATTTCAGGCCTTAATATTTTACTTTATGTAAATATTTGTTTGTTTAGCTATGGAAGATGCTAATGTGTGATGCTAATGTGTGATAATATTACATTTGAAATGCTCGATCTAGGTGAGTTGACAGTGTAAACGCTAACCGTGTGGGTGGTACGGGTTCGAAACACATATTGTAAATAATAATTATTTTTTGTAATTTTTTATAGATGTGACTGATAAAGTTGTCTATCGGGACTTGGCAGGACACGGGACAGGTGAAGTAAAGTTCACCTGTTTCTCCTGGTTATGTAATGTCAGGGAAAATATCGGAGGGTAATTGTCGGGGGGGGGGGGGGGGGGTAGGGAGTCATGCCCTGCTTAACAGCTTTAAAGGACTCTACAGAATATAATTTATTAAACTTTCCTGCAGCCAATCGTTTTCATATTGTTACTTGAGCTACCCGAAAAAAAGCGTGGGTCTATTTCTAAATATTAGTAAAAGTACCCAATAGACAATAAATTGACCCACGCTTTTCCTTATAGTTATTATATATTTAAAGAAAATCATTTATTTTTTTACTTTTAGTGCATTATTACATAAAAATCTTGTTATTAAAACATTTTTAATGAATTTTTTACAAGCTTCTTCTGCCAATCTGTCGTCCGTCTGTCGACAGTCTTTCTGTCGACATAGATCGAAACGGGCGAGCAAAATTTTGGGCACTTTTAACTGTCAGATTCTTTTTTGAGTCTTTACGCATCTGACTTACGATTAGGAAAGTACTCGAATCCGTCAATATTAGCGACCAGACTAAAATGTCTGATATAGAGCGGGCTCAACGGTTTGTTACAAACACGGAGTTAGAATTAGTACGCACTAGACTACCCGTTATCTAGTTAGATAACTGTGGGGTTTGTGACCTACTGAGGTCTTTTTTCTTTAATTGTATTACTTAGTCTCTTGAGTTTTGTGATTGACCTTGGGGGAGTTGTTAGTTCACCGGTTCTCATCAGTCAACTGAACTCCGTCACGGCATGTGATTGGATTGTTTAATCCCTAGCAGATCCTCGACCAATGATCTTGCGACCGTGAGAATCCTTATCAGATCCTCAACAAATAGTCGTAGGACTTTTGAGTGATCTCCCCTAGTACTGAGTTGTATTTAATCTCGTGCAGATCATGTCAAAAGAGGCAGTTAGATTGACCTTTGGACTAGGAGAGAGCTGTGCCGTATGTTAGTGCGCCATTTTCAATTGTGTAGTTTGAGGCATGTTTTATCATCTTGTATAAGGTATTGTGTAACCATTTTTGGTATTACTAATATTTTTGTTCTGGTGTATAGTTGCACCCTTTGTCACATCGGTGATAGGTTGACCTTTTTTTGGTTTCTATTGTTGTAGAGGCAATATGTCTCTTATTGATATTTGTGGTATTTATAATGCCATTCAGTGTGTCAAGTAATGTTCTTTAATAGTGTTTAATATACTAAGCCACAGCTGTGATATATAGTGATTTTCTTCAACTGTAAGTTGGAGTTTTGAGTTTATTTATTGTACTCTTAAAGGCTGTACATTTTGTACAGTCCCAGTGTCGTAGTTTCTTGTACACTTATTAAAAGGGTATTGACATTTTTAAGTCGTGTTGAGTCTCTTCAATTTGTCGTGTTTTCCCCTAGACATCATTAACGAGCTCACGTCAAGTTGTTAGGATTTCATTAGTGTGACTTCTGTCAGTGCCATCCCAAACGAAACCGGGGTGTCCGCTCCCTCCGCGGCTGTCGGAGAGCGGTCATTACAGGTTCTGGTGTCATTCATAAATGACATTACGTCGGTCACTTATCATCACAAAATAACCAGACCCCACATTAAAAAAAAGTTTTTTTTCATGTTTTAAAAACACCGATTTCGGCTGAACATGGGTGTGACCACACTATCCGTTCATATACTAACATCGCAGGTGACCTACCTAACAATAGTTCACCTGCCCAGTGTCTCGCCAATCCTCAGACATGTTTTATTGCTTTAAAAGAAACGATTCCTGCCGAGCATGGCTCTGACCATACTATCCTTCATATGCTGAGTACACAGAAACAGGTGAACTCTACTTCACCTGCCCTGTATCCCACCAAGTTCCAATAGGCAATTTTATCAATCACATCTAAAAAAATGTAAAAAAATAAAAAATTGACATGCGTCTCGAACCCGTACCACCCGCATGGTAAACAGAGTTTCTTCCAGGCATCTCTTCGGGGGGGCGAAGCCCCCCCGAAAAAATTTTACCGCCCCCCCGAACGAAATGAAATTTATATAATTTATATAGAGAATATATACTTTTAACAGTGTCCGCCCCCCCGAAGAAAGTCTACCGCCCCCCCCGAAAATTTCAAGTGCCCCCCCGGAGAAAAAAGTCTGGAAGAAACACTGATGGTAAAACCTAATACACTTATGTCTTAGCTATCTAGGCTATAACTTTTCCCCATCGACAGCTGATCTTTAGATCTATAGAAATATATTGTATACTTAAATGAAAAGGACTGTTAAAAATTGATGTAAGTGTCGGAACGTAATAAGTAGCTAACGGACTATAGTTAAAGCTATAGCCGAAAAAAAATTAGCTTTAGAACGCTCTAAACGTTTGAATTGGCACTAAAATATTCAATGGAAGCCGCCATTATTGTGGTAACAATTAAATAAATCATGTTACGTCACTATTCGCTATAAGTAAAGTCATTGTTCTGAGATTTTATAATTAATGTGGATAATCTTACAATGAATAAATCAATAAACTAATGAAGGTCTTTAAATAAATTTGTGATTAACAGTGTCTAAAAAAATTGTTCTCTACCTAAATACTATTTTACAGCTCTACACTTAGTTCAGATTGTCTCCTGTAACCAAACGGACAAAGAAATTAATATTCAAACATGTAAACAAACTTGAGTTTTAGTAGTATACTAGACTACCCGTTATTTATTTAGATAAATGTGGGTTTCGGGGGTCATCCATAAATGACATCACGTCTGTAACTTATCATCACAAATAACCAGACTTCACATTAAAAAGATGTAAATTGAAACAAAATACACTATCACCTTAGCTATCTAGGCTCATGACGTCATGACACTTTGTGCTCCATATAAAAATTTTACTCTGTTTAAGAAACTTGATTTACGTGAATAGATCCTAGATGTAGTATTTTTAAATTAAATTTTATCTTAAATTAGCCAATTCCATAGCTAAACAAAAAAAGATTTATATAAATAAACACGGTCTCAAATAGTTTAGTATAGAAACTCATTATTATCTAGATCGAGTTATCTCGATTCTAGATTCTACGACTGGTTTGGTTAAGTCGAGATTTGGCCGCAACTCTAGACTCTACACTCCAGCTAAATCTAGACGGATAAATCACTTGTATTAATGAAATAGATGATCGGTGAAGCTAAAAAGCAAAGATTTATATCAAATATTTAAGGAATAAAGTAGTTTTAATAAAGAAACTCAATAATGTATTCTGATTTTAAAAAGCTTTTTAATTTTAAATAATTAATTTTGGTTTAACCTAGATTCTAGATCTATAAATAACTTTATTCAAGATCTAGAAGTCTAGAGCAACTTATTGTATACTAAAATAAAAAGAACTGTTTAAAATTGATATTAGTGTCGGAACGTAATAAAAATAGGAAACGGACATATCGCTAAAGCTATAGCGACAGAAAATTAGCTTTATAGTGCGTTACAATTTCGAATGGGCAGCAAAATATTCAACGGAAGCCGTAATTGTCATTGAAAAAAGTAAATAAATCATGTGACGTCACTATTCACTATAAGTAAAGTCATTGTTCTGAACTGTTATAAATAGTGTGGTGATTAATCTACCAATTGAATGAATAAATCAATACAATAATTAACGTCACTAAATAAATTTGTGATTAATAAAAATTGTTCTCTGCCTAATTACTATTTATAGCTCTACACATAGTGCAGATTCTCTCCTGTAACCAAACGCGCTAACAAAAATAAATAAAAAATAAATAAATACTCACACATGTAAGCCAACTTGAGTTTTAGTAGTATATATATTATATGGATAGATTTGCCATTACATTAAAAAACTAAACGAGCACTTACTACAGTTTTGTTCATCCTCATTGTAAGAACAATGTTTTATGCTGTCACATACAAGCTCTTTTGATACACATTGAGTACCCGTGATACGACAATGGAATGCGTCACCGACACAGGTTGCTGATCATAGATAGACATTAAAGAAACAACTAATGTCGGCATTTTAATTTCCTATAATAAAAAAAGAATATTGTTGCGGAGAGTGGTAAGAGATAGGACTAGGGAGAGGTAGGACAAGGGAGAGGTAGGACAAGGGAGAGGTAGGACAAGGGAGAGGTAGGTCAAGGGAGAGGTAGGACAAGGGAGAGGTAGGACAAGGGAGAGGTAGGACAAGGGAGAGGTAGGACAAGGGAGAGGTAGGTCAAGGGAGAGGTTGGACAAGGGAGAAGTAGGACAAGGGAGAGGTAGGTCAAGGGAGAGAGAGGACAAGGGAGAGGTAGGACAAGGGAGAGGTAGGACGAGGGAGAGCTGAGACAAGGGAGAAGTGTGATAAGGGATAGGTGGGTCAGCACATTATTAAACTACGATCCATAAAATACAACGTAGGCATTGTTTACATTAAAATATCTTAATATTGTAAAATATTGGAATCGTAACGCAATGATGAAACCTTCTTAAAATATTACGTCAGACGTTCTTAAAAGACCCCGACAACACGCGGGAAAGGGCACGCTATTTATATTATATTTAGTTTTAATTTTCAAAAAGTTGTTTAATAATCTATTATAAGAAATACACATATGCAGTTAACTAGGTGTATTTGATATATTTACAATCAAATATACTATAGTAAACAGTATTAACTGCTTTCATTTCTTTCATTTTTAATTTTTTGTGGCTTCAAAAGACAGACACAATTTAATATGCATAACATTTTATACCATTTTTTTTATATTGACTATTTGCATTTTGCAAAAACAGCTGGGCTCTCATGGGCACAGATTAGAGGAGCAGCCCAAAATCAAGTCCGCTGGAGATGTGTGGTTGCAGCCCTTTGCTCACCAGGGGCCATAAAGGAATGATGATGATTTGCATTTTAATTAATTCAAAATTGAAATTTCACTACAGCGCAAACTAAGCTTTAAAATATTATAAATTGCAATCGCAGATTGACTTTTGTGTTTTTCTATATCATTTATTGCATTTCGTGTAAATCACAATGATAAATATCAAAAGGAACTTACAGCAGTTGGATTCATCCAGTAGATCTAAACACTCAACATTTCCATTACACCTTATGGGAGGTGCTTTGCAAAACTTAAAGGGGCATTTGTATTCATTATCATTACAACCTTCTAGTGAAGAAATGAAATACATTCAGTTATTAGCGTTTTAAAACTCAGCCATAACATAAAATAAAATTGAATGAAGCAAACTACGAATGATTTTTTTGCATAGAATAAACATTAATATTTGAATCGCGAATGACACATGCTGCGACGTAATTTGCAAAACATATATCTGTTTAATTTTGTATAAATTTATTACGTTTTTATTTGCTCTATAAAATGACTACAGCTCATTTTAATGCAAGAATTAGAATTAAACGGGTTTGCCGATTAAAAATCCACGTTGAAAATGCATTATGATTATGAACAAAACACATGATACAGTTATATATTAAGCACAGATTTCTTATACCCAGTTACTTACTACAACGGTATTCGTCCTCACCGCCGGCGCAGTCCCTTTTGCCATTACAAGTCAAATCAAATGAGATATTAGTGCCATTGTGACACGTGTAACTTTCTTCAGAACTTATAGCTGGGTAAATGAAACAGAAAATTTTGTTATTTTATTATCACAATAATTCCGCATATACAGAATTAATATAATGCTCTCTCTGCCCCCCCCCCTCACCTCTCTCTCTTTTCCATGAGATTTTACAAACTCAATGTTTTGCTCATTAGCCAGCCAGACTGCGATAGCACTAATTATCACTGGTGTTACCAGGTTATAGAAACTAATTTCCGCAATGTTTTTACTTCCTCCCCTTCTTTAAGAGCTGTTCGCACAGTTCATCTCACAACACTTCCGTGTGCGGTAGACTACAGTTCATCTTACAACAATTCCGTACGCGGTAGACTAAAATAAATCTCACCTACAACAATTCGGTACGCCGTAGATTACCGTTCATCTCACTTACAACAATTCCGCACGCGGTAGACTACAGTAAATCTCACTTACAACAATTCCGTACGCGGTGGACTACAGTTCGTCTCAAAACAATTCGTACGCGGTAGACTACAGTAAGTCTCACTTACAACAATTCCGTACTCGGTAGACTACAGTTCATCTCACAACAATTTCTAACGCGGTATACTACAGTTCATCTCTTTTACAACAATTCCGTACGCGGTAGACTACAGTTCATCTCTTTCACAACAATTCCGTACGCGGTTGACTACAGTTTATCTCACTTACAACAATTCTGTTCGTCGGATCCATCCTTACAGTTATCAGTGCCGTCACATTTCTGGTGTAGCCCAATACATGTTCTTTCTTGGCGGCAATTAAAAGCGTAAGGCTGACAACTTGCTGTTAAACAAACATCATTATTATTAAAATGTTTTGTTTTATTTAAAAAAAAACTGCTTTTTAGCGCAATTTCCTTACTGGACAATTGCAATTATTAACTCGTCATTTCTGGATGTGTGTCCGCAGCTTTAAGTCGTATCTAAGTCGTATCTCCTCCTCAACGAAGCAATATCTAGGACTAGTTCCGAAAGCAAATATGTTAAGCAAGTTCCGAGGATGATTGTGGGCCAAATAAATTCCCTGCATTCCTTCCTGGATTTCCCGGAAAAGCCAAAAAACCTCGAAAAAATGCAGTTTTTGGCCCATATCTTGGCAACCAGACCATTTAGCGACTTGAAACATTTACCAATAGATTCCTGCCATAATTTAGAACAATATTGCCGAAAAATGTTTTCGAAAATATCCTTTTGTTCGGTCACAATTTGTTTTTAAAATTACATTATACATAATACACTACAGTACTATATAGCAATATAGAGAGCGCGACAACTAAATACCCCCTACACGTCCGCAATTTTTTTTAAATCTCGTTAATAAATATTTTTTCTATTTTGTTTTGAATAATTAAAACTACTTGTTTTGCATTATTTATTTGCTGAATATATTATTTATCTCGATTTAAAATTGTTATGGATAACATAAGGAAATTGCGCTTAAATTGTCACTATACTTGTTATTAACTTGTTTTATTTAAAAGCCAATTTAAAAAAAAAAAATTAAAAAAAATTAATTTTGGACATGCATTTGTATTTGACGATACTCTAACAAATGCTTATTCAAATTCATTTTTAACACGTTTTTCTTAACTCAGCTTCGCGTTTATTTGTTTGTTTGGATGTTTGTTGTTAAAATTGACATCGAAAATTAGCCCACTTCTGATTGCTCTAGAGATCTGAAATTTGGCATGCAGGCTACTTTCGCCTAACAATTTCAGATGCAATCATAAAAACTAGCAATTAGAGACCGTAATTAGCTTAATTTAATTACGCCCCAAGGACCATAAAATTGAGGACATGATTTCTAAAGATACCGACAAGACTGGAGGCCTATTGACACAGTTACTTCGGCCACAATCGATGTGAGCGCGCTAGCCGTGATCGTATAGTGGTTAGTACTTCGCGTTGTGGCCGCGACAACCCAGGTTAGAATCCTGGTCGCTCAAGATTTTTAGTCCGTGTATTTATAAACACTTAGTAAAGTCATACTTAATCAAGTCATTAGATAAAGTAGAAAATAAACTATATATAAATTTTTTTTAAAACCCACGTTTTTCATGTGTAGCAACGGACTAAAAAGGAGAAAATAAAATACTTAAAAAAAACTTTTTAAAAAACCACGTTTTTCTTGTGGACTAAAAAGTAGAAAATAAATTTTTCTTTTGTGCTTCCTCGAGCTGTGCAGATTCTTGTGATGACTGACAAAAAACGTGGGTCGGGCAGATGGGTCGGGAAATTCGATGGTGAACGTACCCACGTTTTTTGTCAGTCATCACAAGAATCTGCACAGCTCGAGGAAGCACAAAAGAAAAATTTATTTTCTACTTTTTAGTCCACAAGAAAAACGTGGTTTTTTAAAAAGTTTTTTTTAAGTATTTTATTCCCACGTTTTCTTTAACTTGCTTTCGCGTCTGTTTGGTTCTCCAATCAAATCTTGCGATCGAAATTTCGGGCACTTCCCAGTTAGCTAGCGCGCTGAAATTTTCAGGGAAGCTTTGTTTTGGATGACATTAGAATATTCAATTGTTATTATTACTAAATTGATCCATGGAAACATTTTATTGAGCATTTTAGACCGCTATATAATATATATATATATAATTCTCCTCTGCGAGCCATTAGAAAACAAGCTGCAAGCGCCTCCTTACAGTCCCCTCTCTTTCTCTCTATCACTATCACTAAAACCCTACCCCACCCCCACATGGTCTGCTGAGCTGTGGTCACGTTAATGTTTACAAACCGTATAGCCAGGTTTAGTGACGGCTATTAGGGGCAGATAATTTAGTTTGAACCGACTTTATACTTACAGGAGGTAACTAAGAGGAGGCTGCTTTCACGGGGGTGGGGGGGGGGGGGGTGTAGGGTCGGGGTTAGGGGAAAGAAGGGGGGGGGGTTAGTGTTTTAAAGCAAATATTTTCAGTGGCAGCATTGGTACTGTCGAATTCACAAATTATGAATTACTGACAAGTAGAAAATAAATCAACTAAATAGCGGCGTATGATACGCCGCGGGTCGGCTCGTTGTAGTAAAAACGTGGGGAAAAAGGGACATAACCCAGTAACTGTAATTTGTGTACAAACAACCGTAACAACTGGTGGCCAGTATGGGGGAGACGATATGGTCGAGTGGTTGGGCACACGATTGCTATCCCACTCGACACTGGTTCAAATCTATGTGTTTAGTCAGTAACGTATTCACACAACGTGTTTTTTACGAGTTGTCTTTTTACGAGTTGTCTTCGTTTACCCAAAAAAAGTGAATGCGAAAAGATAAAATCGATAGCAAGATTTTAATGCAAACAAACAGACAAAGACTAAAAAGTAGAAAATAATAATCATTAAAAAAGTTAAAAAAAAACCCACGTTTTCTGATTGAACTAATAAAAAGTAGAAAATAAATGTTATACATCACAATAATGCAAGCGATCACTCTACTATAAGCGATCAAAAACGTGGGGCACCGAAGTAAAAGTTATATTACTATTGATTAGATAATACAATTGACTTTTATTAGGGAGCTTGTAGAGAGTCAACAGTATTAGAAACTGTAAGAAAATCACGGCGCCCCACGTCAGTTGCATGAAAATTGTTCTTGACAAAGCTGTTCAATATCGTTTTAACGGGAAAAATACCAGATTCAAAGAAATGTCATATTAACCGTCTAATAACAACTTGTGAGTGCTATTAGTCTGTTTAGAAAATCTCTGTTTCAATATATTTCTGCTATAATGCTTCCTAAACCCAAGTCGGTGTAAATAATATGAAGCATGAAAGCTTTGTATGTGTAATAAGTGTAATGGTTTCTCGCGTTATGTTTTGTGTGATTTCTTTAATATTTATATTATTAGTTTTAAGTACATTTCCTTTCTATACTATGTCATTCTTTTTTATGTATTTTAAAAAAAACACATAATAATTAAGAAAAGTAATTGCTTTTTTAAATTTGTTTAAAGCAAATCTATTAAAAAGTGCTTAAAGGCACACACATTTGACTATTTAAAAAAGGGAAATGAGTCATGGAAGTGGTTTGAACGTTTGCTATCTTTCACACTACACCTCATGTATATATTTTTTTTCTAACACAAACACGCCCCGCTTTACGCTGAATGTGAAAGAAACACCAATTGGCGAAGGCATTGGTGTCAGAGGCGTCGCTGGGGCTCTTGGGACACGGCCACCGGCGAAGGCCCCTAATGCAGTGAGACTGCTGATTCAAGTAGTACACCTGTTCAGGACACCCAATAAGCAGACCCCAGGTGCTTAGATAGCCACTTGGGATCTCGGGGCGCTCAACTACACATTTAAAACAAATGTTAGGTCTATGAGTACTCAAAAACTTCCCAAATTTTCATTGTGATAGCATGAATGGTGTAGTAATGCATAAAAGACAGGCACACGTTGTTCACGTTTACAGCTGTATGTGCCCAGCTCAGGCGGAGGAAAACCTTCTGATTTAAGGGACATCCATAAATGACGTCATGCTTTTTTGACGACTCACAAAAGGCTAGAACCTCATCCCTAAATGTCGTCCTTTAGTATTATTAATTGATTATAAATGTTCAAGAAATTTATTTCCTAATAAGATAAAGATAAATAGTCTTACCTTCCTTGTTTTATGAACAAGAATCATCAAACTAATTAAGTAATATCCGCGGACTAGTGTCAGATTAAGTGTCAGAAATGAAGAATGTACAGCTATGAAGTTCGCAAACGATTAATTTGTCTATTAGCTACTTATAAGGCTAAGAGTGGGGAGGAGGAGGGATGACAGAGAAAGAAACTTTAAAGGGACAACAAAGCACCGAAGTGCTTCTGTCCATCAGTGATGAATTTGGGATGGTCTCGACTACTTATCCTAAAGCCTATTATGAAACACTCAAGGGAGAGTTCAAATTATACACGCTAACTATCGTATTTTTTTTGTAAAACAAAAACAAGTAAACGTACATAAAACCGAAATTATAGTAATTATTTTATTTTTACTTATTTGTAGAATACAGGATAATACAGAATAGTAGTTAAACCAATACAACAAACGAACATTTTACACTATAAAACCACAAATAATTGTGGGCCCCTAATAAATGACATAAAGAAGCAAAAGTCGTCTTAATATCTAGCGATCTCTCGCGCGATGGACTTTTTTTATTTTCAAAAGAATTTTGCCGACTACAGCGTGTATTTGAATACAGTAGAAAGAGGACTCGGAACGGTGTCTATAGAATAAAGATAATCCAGTATTCTTTTTATAAAACAACCATGAAGTCAAACATGCAAGAACATATTTTTGTTTTTTACGATTTAAAAAAATGGATTATGGTCGGCTGTGGGGCCCTAAACGGCTTCCTCCCCCCCTCCCCCCCCCCCGCATTGAGGGGTCTGGCGGCATTGTAGTTGGTGTGATTTTTCCGAGGCGCGCGTGTATTTACATTTAATTGGTGCGCTGCACAGTTATTCCACGTTTTCTTTAACTTGCTTTCACGTCTGTTTATTTGTTTTTTCCAATCAAATCTTGCGATCGACATTTTGGGTACTTCCCAGCTAGCTAGCGCGATGAAATTTTCAGGGAGGCTTTGTTTCTGATGGCAATACAATATTCAATTATTATTATTACTAAATTGATCCATGGAAAACTTTTATTGATCATTTTAAACTTCTATTGATTTGTACCAAAATAAGGGACATAACCCAGTAATTGTAGTTTGATGAAAACAAGGTTCGGTACTTTCCCTCTTCAGGCTTACTGAGTAGTGGTCACGCGGTGTTTGTGTACAAACCTATGCAA